AAAATATCTATACTTGAAATACGAATGAAGGCTTATTTGTATAATACACAAATAAAGATTTCTTATTTTATTTCCAAAGCCCTAAAATTTTCCACTTTTGTAAAATATTAGGTTTGCTCTTTATTATTCCTGCAGCTTCTTGAATCTCTCTCAGAACTTTTAATTCTCCTTTCCACATGTGGCACATTCGATTATCACATATTAACCTGTTTCCTGAAGTTCCCCATTCTAGCTCCTCCAACTCTCCATAGTTTGCAATAGGAAGTATTTCAGTTTCATATAAATCTATTATAAAGGCATATGATGGTTTATAGTCCTGTCAGGAATAATAAACATTCACTTGCCATCATGTGCCTTTTATAAAACTATGCACAATTTCTGATAAAGAAAACAAAAATTATTACCTGAAAAGAAAACAAAAATACCTTGGCATGGCACAAATATATAAACCAATGACAAAGCATGCTAAAATATCAAGATAAAGAGCTCACATTGAATCCACAAGTCTTCTGACTAGAGCAATTATATTCATTCTTCTTGGTTTTTCCTCCTGTTTCTCTATCTTTTGTTCCACTTTTGCATATGCTGTCTCTGGTGAATAAGAATGTGTGGGAATTTCTTCCTTCCCTACAATGAACCTAAAGAGAAGAGCACAATGTGAGACATTTTTCACCTTAAAAAAAAAAACAAAAAAAAATCAATGAGAAAATAAACTTATTTTGCTTATATATAAACTCAAGAGAGTACTTTATCAATTGAAATACTATTTTTCACAATTTATATAAAATCTAATCATCCTTTTTAAAATAGACTTTAGAAATCTGATAATTCAGAAAATGTTAATAGTCATTTATTTGACAATGCAGGTATTTTCATATTAAATTAACCAAGTAAAATACAGCATAGCACCTTTTAACTTGGGTCACCACTTTTCTGAAGCATTACCCATGTTAAAGTTTTTCCAAATAAAGAAGCTGATGAACTATTAACTTGGATCTAGTTAATGACAAAAACTAATTTTTTTCTCTAAAATTTGCTAATTGTTACAATTGAGTTTCTCAAATTTTACTCTAAACTTATATCTAATGTCACTTTAAACAGCTGCAGTGCAGTAAAAGGTCATCTATACA